TCTCTTGGTTTGCTAACCAGCATGTCCCCGCTGCGGTTTGCTGACCCCGCGCCGTGTTTGTGCTTCAGACAGAGAACGGGGTGCTGCTGCCCTCGCTGCAGTCCGCGCTGCCCTTCCTGGACCTGCACGGCACCCCCCGGCTCGAGTTCCACCAGTCAGTCTTCGATGAGCTGCGGGAGAAGCTGCTGGAGAGGGTCTCTGCCATCGCTTTGGAGGGGAAGGTCGAGGAGAGGTGTGTTGGCTCCTTGGGGTGAGCTGGGAGTTCTGTGTGAGGATGTAGTGGATGAGTGACTCCCGCAGGGCAGAGTTGGGTCCCTCGGGGATCAAGTTCCAGTGGCTCTAAGAAGCTCTAGCAGATTCATTATTCTGTACCTATGTCAGGTTTTTGCTATTGTGCAGATACATTTCATGAATGGAAGGGTTGGTTCCAGCTGCTTGGAGAGAAACACATGAGATGCTTAACATGTGGGTATTTTGAAATGCTTGGGACTCCATAGCCTTGGTTAGTCACAGCTTAGTTTTAGCCTTGACAAGAGGCTCAGGGGTGACCTCATGGCTCTCTCAACTCCCTGACAGGCTCTAGGGAGAGGACTAGAGGGAATGGCCTTGAGCTGAGATAGGGGAGAGTCAGATTGGATGTGAGGAGAAATGTATTCCCTGTTAGGGTGTTCAGGCACTACCCTAGGGTGGTGGAGTCACCATCCCTGGAGGTGTTTAGGAGGCATCTGGATCTGAGGCTGGAGGATATGATTTAAGGATTCGGAGTTACAGCAGTGACAGATTAATCATTGGACTTGATGGTCTTAGAGGTCTCCTCCAACCTTGATGGCTCTATGATTCTCTTGAGATGAACCACTTTGGTCCTTTACTGCTTCATGGTACTTACCCTTGTGCTCTTGCATGCTTTCAGATACAAGAAGCTGGAAGATCTCCTAGAGAAGAGCTTTTCCCTGGTGAAGATGCCTTCAATACAACCTGTGGTCATGTGTGTCATGAAGCACTTGCCCAAGGTAGGACACTGGACTGACTGGGCTGTGGTGTTACAGCTCTGGTGTCTGGTGTGTGGCTCCTCCAGCTCTGCCATGTTAGGGACTGACTGAAGATTTAATACATCCTTGCATCAGGTAGCAGCTAAATTCACAAAGCATTTTACCTTTTCATAGTCAGATTAGACTATTCCCTGTTTGCTTCAGTCCATGCAGCTTCCTAAAAATAGTCAGGGTCACTGAAAAGTGAATTTTTCCACAGCTGATTTAAAAATCTGTGACAAGTGGGAGGTAAAACTTGAAGAAAGCAGCTAGGAGCAGACAGGAGTGAGATTCGGGTCTGTGAAACAAAAATGTATAGGAGTGTCCTTATTAAAAGCATCATGTTGTATGTGATGTGCATCATGTAATGGATTCAAAACTGCTCCTGGAACTTTTGTAAGTTCCTGAGTTTGGGAACATCACCCCAAAACTCAGTCTTATACATTTAGAAGAAATCTATTTTCTTCTCTTTAAAAGAGATAAGGAGGAATTTAGTGTGTGATTGGGTGGTTGAATTGTCTTAGGGCTGACTTACTGCTACAGGAGGAGGTAAAAGCTGAGTCTGTGATGCTGCTGAGGATTTATTGCTGTGCTGGGTGATGCTCAGGCTGCCTGAGGTGGTGATCAGCTGATTGTCCTGCTCTGCTCTGTGCTGGGGCAGCATCAGCCCAAGTCCTGGGGGTGGTTTTATGTGCCACAGTACGAGAAAGGTCTAAAGCTGTTGGAGAGCATCCAAAGGAGGGGGCAGCATCAAGTCCTCGGGGTGGTTTTGTGTGCCACAGTATGAGAAAGGTCTAAAGCTGTTGGAGAACATCCAAAGGAGGGACATGGAGATAGTGAAGGGTCTAGAGGGGCCACGTGAGGAGCAGCTGAGGGCACTGGGTCTGTTCAGGCTGGAGAAGAGGAGACTGAGGAGACACCATGGTCTGCAGCTTCCTCCTGAGGGGCAGTCAAGTCCTCGGGGTGGTTTTGTGTGCCACAGTATGAGAAAGGTCTAAAGCTGTTGGAGAACATCCAAAGGAGGGACATGGAGATAGTGAAGGGTCTAGAGGGGCCACGTGAGGAGCAGCTGAGGGCACTGGGTCTGTTCAGGCTGGAGAAGAGGAGACTGAGGAGACACCATGGTCTGCAGCTTCCTCCTGAGGGGCAGTGCAGGGGCAACTCTGAGCTCTGTGACCAGTGACAGAGACAGGGAATGGTCTGAGGTCATGTCGGGGGAGGGTCACAGGGAATGGTCTGAGGTCATGTCAAGGGAGGGTTAGGCTGGATATTAGGCAAAGATTCTTCCCCCAGAGGTGTTTGGGCACTGAACAGCTCCCCAGGGCAGTAGTCACAGCCCCAAGGCTGACAGAGCTCCAGGAGTGTTTGGCCAATGCTCTCAGGCACAGGGTGCATTGTTGGGGTGTCCTGTGCGGGGTCAGGGGTTGGACTGATGAACCTTGTGGGACATTCCAGCTCAGGATGCTCTGTGATTCCATGATTTAGGTGTCTCTGTAGTCTGTTCTGGACTCCATGGGCAGTGAGGCAGGTGAGGTGCTGCACACTCTGTAACTGCTCTGTGTGTTGCAGGTCCCTGAGAAGAAGCTGAAGTTGGTGATGGCTGATAAGGATCTGTACAAAGCCTGTGCTGTGGAGGTGAAGAGGCAGATCTGGCAGGATAACCAGGCCCTGTTTGGGGATGAGGTGTCACCACTGCTGAAGCAATACATCCTGGAGAAGGAGAACATTCTCTTCAGCAATGATATTTCCTTCTTGCAAAACTTCTTCAGTCCATCTCCCAAAACAAGGCGCCAAGGAGAGGTAAGGAAAAGGGAACCCTCAGAGCATGCTGGAGTGGGATTCACCAGCTTTCAGTCACTCTCATCACAGAACAGGGTCTGTTTCCCCCACCAGCTGTGACTCAAGTCTTGTAGCTGGACAAAGCTTTTGCAAGAAACACCATCCCAGCAGCATTTTAATGGTTCATAGAACCATGTTAAGGGGTTGGAATAGACCTTGAAGATCATCCAGCCCCAACCCCCTGCCCTGGGCAGGGACACCTCCCACCAGAGCAGGTTGCTCAAGGCTTTAGCCAACCTGGCTGTGAACACTGCCAGGGTTGGGGCAGCCACAGCCTCCCTGGGCAACCTGGGACAGTGTCTCACCACCCACACAGCAAAAACTTCTTCCTAATAGCTAACTTGAATTTCCCTCTTTGAATTTCTCCCCATTCCTCCTTGTCCTGTCCCTGCAGTTCCTCAATGCTCTGTAATAACTGATGAATGTTCTAAGCTCTTTATACACTTTAAAAGTTAAGGCCAAGGCCAAGTTGTTTTCTCTGTTGTTCAGTCTGGCTTTAGTACTCCTCAGCTGTTCTGAAGGCTGATGTCTCTGTCACATCAGCTTGAATATGTGAAATATCTTTTCTTGGTACCCTTTTTTGGCATGACATGGCAAAAGAAGTTGCCCTTTTTTTTAGTACAAAAATGTCAAGGGACATGGAAAGCTGTAGTCAATCTGCAACCAGAAAAGTTGCTCTTTGACTGGGATTAATTACAAGGCAGTATGAAGCTTTAATTTCACTGAGGGCAGCATGGCTGTTACATGGGGGTTGGCTTGTTCTGTTTTGCTTTCAGAACCATTTAGTGTAAGTGCTCTGGTGCAATTTCCTCCAAGTTTACACTGCAGAGTTGTGGTTTGAGCCCAGTTGGACACTTGGCACCACACATCCATTTCTTCACTCCCCTTGGGGGAGAACCAGCAGGGAGAATCAGAAGGGTAAAAGTAACAAACTTGTGGGTTGAGATAAAAGTATTTTACAGCTAGATTTGGTGAACACCTCTTGAACAAATGCTCTTGGAAATCTTGGTGTAGATAGTTCCTTCTCAGGAACTCACGTCACTGTGGATGTTTCCTTCTTGATAAATCATGTCACGTAACGAATTTACATTTTGTGTATGTGTGAAATAGGAACATCTCTTGGTACTGAGTCCACATCTTTCCCCTTTGAGTTCAGGTGGTGCAGAAGCTGACCCAGATGATTGGGAAGAATGTGAAGCTGTATGATATGGTGCTGCAGTTCCTGAGGACACTGTTCCTCCGGACAAGGAATGTCCATTACTGCACTCTGAGGGCAGAGCTCCTCATGTCACTGCATGACCTGGAGATCAGTGAAATCTGCACTGTTGACCCCTGTCATAAGGTACTAACCATGTGGGACAGGTGGAAGTGTTCCTGGAGAGTTTTGTTTCACCCAGTCCTGTGCACACCTGCTGCCCTGTGGGACTTCAGCCCAGAGAAGATGAGTTCTTTCTGAAGGGAGTTCAGACCTTGATAATCCCAGATATTGGGAGGTCATTCTGAGCCTGTTTTCTCTGACATGATATATTTGATTGCTGGTTAAGGAGTTCCTGAGGTTCCTAAAGCTTTCTACTTCTTCTAACAGTTCACCTGGTGCCTTGATGCTTGCATTAGGGAGAAGTTTGTGGACAACAAAAGAGCTCGGGAATTGCAAGGGTTTCTGGATGGAGTGAAGAAAGGACAAGAACAAGTGCTGGGGTAAGACACTTGGGCTGTTCATTGAGAAACTGAAAATGGATTCTTGGATGTCCTGGCAGTCACAACACCTGACAGGTGTTGGAGGTGTTAATTCTTCCTTAGAGCCAGCAAACCCCCAGCAGCTTCTCTGTGTGGTGACATCCCAAACATCCATGAGCATCAATGCACTCGGGCATAGCCAAGCACAGAGTTTGCACTGCCTCAGTTGCCACTCTTGAGTCTGCCCTGTGGCCTGGTAACTGGCTGTGGGAGATCTCCTGCTTGATCTCAGTGCAGAAGAGTTTTAGTAGTTGGTTTTGGGTAACTCTTTCAGGTCAAACAAATACCATTCATGGTGTTTTTCCAGTGCAGGAGAAGGTTCATCAGGAGGACACAGGTGGATCTGAACCTGTGTGGTAGGGTTGTTTGCTATGTATGATATATATTTGATTTTTCCTTCTTCTCAGGGATTTATCAATGATCCTGTGTGATCCCTTTGCCATTAACACCTTAGCCTTGAGCACCATCAGGCACCTTCAAGACCTGGTTGGACAGGACACCTTACCCAGGGTAAGTGTTGCAGCTTGTGTACCTCATTTCAACTGTAGTATTAGTTGACTAACATCCCTCAGCTAATGACTGGCACTGTAGAAATATGATTAAGTTCTCAAATGTGCCTGTGTGAATTGAGATATGGGGAAGGTGATACCTGTCCATTTGTAGCACCTGCTGTAGAGCTCTGCAGGAGCAATGTTTGGAGATGGGCAAGGGAGAGACTTGTCCTGCTCTGCTCTGCACTGGTGCAGCCTCAGCTTGAGCCCTGTGGGTAGTTTTGGGCACCACAGTATAAAGAAGATCTAAAGCTATTAGAAAGTGTCCAAAGGAGGGACATGGAGATGATGAAGGGTCTGGAGAGGAAGTCAGATGAGGAGTGACTGAGGTCACTTGGCTTGTTTAGTCTGGAGAAGAGGAGACTTGACAGGGACCTTATCGGGGTCTGAAGCTTCTTCACAAGGGAAAGCAGCACTGTTCTCTGCTCACTGGGACCAGTGACAGGACCCAGGGAACAGCTGGAGCTATGTCAGGAGAGGGTTAGGCAACATATCAGGAAAGGGCTCTTCCCCCAGAGGTGTGTGGACACTGGAACAGCTCCCCAGGGCAGTGGTCACAGCCCCAAGGCTGACACAGCTCCAGGAGTGTTTGGCCAATGCTCTCAGGCACAGGGTGCATTGTTGGGGTGTCCTGTGCAGGGCAGGGGTTGGACTGATGATCCTTGAGGGTCTCTTCCAGCTCAGAACATCTTGTGATTCTGTGATTTTGGGACTGTTTGAACCGACAATGACTTATTTGCGTGGCTCATTCTATCTGGACAGATGTGCAAATCTAGAATCCTCTCCAGAATCTGTGCCTGCCTGCTTTGTGCTTCCCTCAGCTGGTCTGGCAGCAGCAGCCCTTCTCCCTGCCACAGTAAATGCTGTGGGTTAGTTTGCACCATTCTGGTCTGTTGGCTTTGATACAACACAGTTCCTGTGAGCAGTGTCTGCAGGAGGTGCTGAAATGCTAAGGATACCTTACAGGTGTCCCTACAGGTGTCTGACCTGAGCTGTTAAACAGTATTGTTGGATGGAATAACTTCCTCATGACACCTTAAGACTCAAAATTGTTTTGGTTTCAGGGCACAGTATAAACAAACCCCCCACTGTCATTGTTACATACCCTTTCTCCTTCTTACTTTCTTGAGCAGACTTGATTTGTCCTGTCACATATTGGATTTCAGTGAACTAATTGGTCAGGACACATTTAAAAATGATGTTGTGATCAGATAGCTGCAAAATTCCTAGAAGTTACCAACCCCCCCAAACCCTCAGGTGTGTCTGTTACTTGATTCCCATTTGAGGAACCAGTTTTCAGTCAGTCTGGAGAACTGAATGCCTCTAGGAGACAAAGCTGCTAATCCAGGAGAGCTTTGAACATAAACCACCACTTCCAAAGAAATACCTCATGAAAGATCAAAACAGCTGTTTTTCTTCTCCCCTTCAAATTCAAGGAAAGCCCAGATCTGCTGCTGCTTCTTAGGATGCTGTCCTTGGGACAGGGAGCTTGGGACATGATTGACAGTCAAGTCTTCAAGGAGCCGAAAATGGTGAGCCATGTTCAGAATTAACACATCTAATTAAACAAATTTAGACTCGTTTCTTGTTTTATTGCATCCCTGATTTAATGTTCATTGTGCAAACCTCTGATCAGAGCTCACTTGGGAAGAACATGTCAGTGGACACAGAGGAGCAGCTCAAGAGGTCATGCTGTGAGCTTCCTTTGCCTGCTCCTTTATGTCCATGAGTGCCTGATCCTTACTGGTCCAAGATCAGACTGGACCTCTGTGCAATTCTGCACTGGTTCTCATTGTTCCTGGGGATGTCTACACAGTGATGAGGTTGTAGAACACATTTTGCATGAGGAAAGAAGGGTTTTAAACACAAAAGGTTCCACCTCAACATGAGGAAGAACTTCTTTCCCTGGAGGCTGCAGAGCACTGGAATGGCTGCCCAGGGAGGGCATGGAGTCTCCCTCTCTGGGGACACTCCAAACCCACCTGGATGCATTCCTTTGTCACCTTTTCTAGGTGACCCTGCCTGGGCAGAGGGGTTGGACTGGATGATCTCTGGAGGTCCCTTCCAACCCTGACCATTCTGTGATTCAGAGGCTGACCCAAAACTCTGGTAGCAGTGCAGAAGCTTTTCACTGACATGGAGAAGGGTTTTCCCTTCCAGCTCTCTGTGATTGTGGTTATGTTATGTAGTGCCACAGCTTGCTATAACCATTCCATGCCTTGGGAACATTTCCTGAGTGTCTCAGGAAGCCCTGGGGTGGCTGAGGAGCAGGAGGGTTTGGGTGAGGGCAGGATGGCCAGCCATGGTGGGGCTGTTTCTCAGGGAAATTTGCTGTTTCTCTTCTGAACTAGAAAGCAGCAAATGCCTGCCTGGGGGGACATTTGAAGTCTCCAAAAGACATCTCTTCCTGGCTGATTGCATGTTTAAATTCAGCACAGGGAAGGTGTGCATGAGCACTGGGATTGTAGCAGTGGTGGGGACGGAAACTCTAAGGGTAGCACTGGGATTTTTGTTCTCTCCTGAACCTCTTAGAAAGAGACTGGACATTTTTTGTGAAGGGAATCTCCAAATCTGTGTTTCAGCTCTGATCTGTGGTTGTCTTACAAACTGTAACGTTGTGCTCTGTGGATCTGGCACAGCACTGCCTTGTGCAAGATGTCTTTATTGCTGCTGTTCTGACTCTGCACTGATCTCTGTCAGTTCAGGGAGTTAACAGAATGATTCCCAATTTGTAATCGTTGTGTTCAGCCTGGTGAAGAGATGATTGAGAGGGATCTTACCAGTGTCTGTCAGTACCTGCAAGGAGATGTCAGAGCATGAATCAGCCTCTACTCTGTGGCACTGAGCAATAGGACAAGAGGGAATGGACAGAAACTGATGTGCAGGAAGTTCCACCTGAACTTGAGGAAAAACTGTGGGTGATGGAGCACTGGAACAGAGACCAGAGAGGGTGTGGAGTCTCCTTCTCTGGAGATATTCCAAACCCATCTGGACACAGGTCTGAGTGACTGCTCCAGGGGACCCTGCTTGAGCAGGGAGGTGGGCCTGGATGGCCTCCAGTGCTCCCTTCCAGCCCAAACCAGCCTCTGGTTCTGTCACTGTTCAAAGCAGTTTGGTTTCATTCTTAGCATGCATTGCCTGCAGCATTGCTGGGAAAGATCTCTCAGAAGAAGTGCTAATTTATCATCCAAAGAAAGGATTTGAGCAGGAGTATTTCTGTAGGTGAGGTGAAGTACAGTTTTCCTAGTTGCTGTGGAACATGTGGAAGTGAATTATTCAAGGATTTGGACTGGAACTGGAAGTTTGAAAGCTTGTTTTCCTGGTGTGGGATGAGACTCCTCATGCTGCATGTGTTACAGCACTCCAGGACCAATAGGTGGCATGAAGTGATTGATGAAACCTTGTTCTTTTCCCTCTATTCTCCATCCCTCCAAGGAAGCTGAGCTGATCACCAGGTTCCTGCCCCTGCTGATGTCCTTTGTGGTGGATGATCACACGTTCACTGTAGATCAGAAACTGCCCTCGGAGGAGAAGGGACCAATTCCCTACCCCAGTGCCATTCCTGAAGCTTTCACCAAGTATGTACCTTGCCTCAGGTATGGTCTGGTTACCAAAGCCAAGCACCAGGGAGCCACCAACACTGACAGGGAAGGACTGCATGTGCTGAAGACAAGACTTTGCTGGGAGAAGATTTAGTTCTGATTGATCAAGCTGAGCTTTTCCTTTAACAGAACAAGGTTCCACCATGATTCCTAAATAACATCTATCTACGTAAAATGATATTTCTTGTCATGACCATTCTTTTGGCAGATTGAATATGAAAGTATTTGATGCTACTCTTCAAATTGCTGCTTGTGCAGCTTCCCAGGCAGTGAATGCTGAGTGTTTGGGTGATGTTTCATAGCATGCTAAGGGGTTGGAATGGAGCTTAGAGATGATCCAGCCCCAACCCCCTGCCCTGGGCAGAGACACCTCCCACCAGAGCAGGTTGCTCAAGGCTTTAGCCAACCTGGCTGTGAACACTGCCAGGGTTGGGGCAGCCACAGCCTCCCTGGGCAACCTGGGACAGTGTCTGAACACCCAGATTTGGGTGCAGCTGGACAAGGGCCCGTGCTGGGTTCTGAGGAGCTGTTGTAAATCATCAAGTTGGCATTTTTGGCACCCACACTCATTCTCTGTCGATAAACTGTCACTCAGGTATGTGAGAAGGATAATTGAAACCTGTGTGCTCTGTTATATGCAGACTTGCACGAATTTCCAGCACAGCTCCTGTCTGTATGCCACAATCTGGTGTACTGTGTCCTGGGAGCTGTACTCTCCTCTAGGGCAGTGTTGATATTGGACTTTTGGGAACAAAGCAGTGTTGGACTTTGCATCATTTTTGAGTGTTTGGGCTTCTTCTAAACCCCATTTTGAACAGCACTTTTATCATGAATACATGCTAAGTGTTCACAGTCCAGTCCAGCTGTTTGGCTGTGAGACAGCACAGTGGTTACTGGATGGTGAGTGTGGTGGTGAACATAATGATGATCATCTGCTCAGTCACTGAGAGGCTGTTCTTCAGTGGGTTTGAGGTTAGCTACTGCTGTACCTCAGTGGTTTCTGTCAGTATTTTAAACTTCTTCAAAAGAGATTTAAAAGTTTAAAAATCCGTTTTAGCTTTATTGATGAAGGAACTGCTTCTGCCCTAACAGATTCCTGCAGGAGAACAGAATAGCTTGTGAGATTGGGCTGTATTACATCCTTCACATCACTAAACAGAGGAACAAGAATGCTTTCCTTAGGCTTCTGCCAGCACTAGGTGAGTTTTTGTCTCATCTTCTATTCCATAACTGTTTGTCTTGCACTGGACACCCAGGAGGCAAGTAAAGCTGGAGTGACAGGGCTTTCAGAGCCAAAGACATCATGTTCTGCCTTTGGCTCTTCTGGTGGCCTAGTTGGAAGTCCCTGCAGAAGTGTTTGGGTCGGTCTGCAATTAGGGTACATTGCTGATGTGAGAATTTAGGGATAGTGGCTGAGGGTCAGTAGTTCCTTACATCAAAGGCTCTGTTAACAGTGAGATTAGCTGAGAACTGTTTGAGTGGATCAAGGATAAAAGAGCAGGTGGGTTAATTCTGCCACTGCCCAGAATGACTGCAGGTGGCCAGAGGTTCCTGGGGCTGTGTGTGGTAAAAAAGCTGTAACTAAACAGGACCAAACACAGCCTTAGCTTTTTTCCTGGGATCACCTTGTTCAGTGACTCCTTTGGGGTGAGTTGCAGGAGAGCTCTGAAGCAATCTACTCCTCATCTTTTATGTCTCAGAGGTCAAAGCCACATGCCTGGGCTAGCTGTTTTCAAAGGAAGTGGCAAAAATGACTGAAAGGGAGTACCTTTAGATTAGACATT